TTGACTCGTCAGATACAACATTCTCTGACTTTAGAGTCTCTAGAAACACAACACTGGCACAGGGCTGCTGGTCGACTAACTCCAAGGAACTCCTAAGCTGATCACAAATCAGCCTATGAAAGACAGCTCACCCAAAGTTCTGCTTAGGATTTGTGTTGTCAGGCTGAGCACAAAGGCATCTGCATCTCAGCAGAGGAGGCTGTATAGCCAGTGCTCTATGGTAAGTGCTCCCAGATATCCTCATTAGAAATCTGAGGTGCAGAAGATCAATGTAATCGGTAAGATTCTGAAAACTTTCTTCAAAAAGAGAACCTTGGACACAGCATACACTCAAGCACATGAATAATTTTTTAAATCCTTTTCATTGCACTGAAAAGATTCAAAGACTCTTTCCTACTTCATTTTGTTCATGAGAAATGAGTCAGAGATAAAACCAGAACATTTTCATCATGCAGAGCTGCTCTGACCTCTAGTTTATGTTAATTGACTCAGGGAAGAGAGAAAAGTACCTAAAACATAAAGAAGTAGCAACTGTTAATCTCAGTGTAAATAACTAATCTGTTTAATATTAAAAAGAATTATCTAGAAATACTTAGGACATGGGCTTCATGCAACTTGTCATTGATGGGATTATAAAATCAACATAAACTATTTTCCCCCTGTATTCCAGATACTGTACATAGATCTGTATTACTAATTTCAACAAGTCTGAGCTTGTTCTGTGAGAGTGTTTCATGCCATGTGGCCACAATGTATGTATACAACTTCAAGTTACCCACCTCTAAAACAGGATGACTGAATGCAGAATGCCTTGTATGAGCAGACTTTGGCTCACAACCGCTCTTGAACCGCAATCAGAAACAGGGGAAGTGCTAGTTGGCCCAGTTAAAACCATGCAGAACCTCTTATCCATGTAAAATGAGGTTCCAGGGCACAGAATCTTTCCTTAAACTGGCACTTTACCAGCATACCCACAGCCTCTGGTTTCTTCCTGTACCATTTGCACAAGTTTAAAGTTTGGGAGCCACTATGCATAATACTGGCCATTTCCTGTTGACACAAGTAGTCAGAAGAGGGCAAACATCTGTAGATGCTGCTTTAACTTAAAGTCTATCTCTGCATAGCCTGACAAGACAGAACAGTTTCTTATGTGCTTTAACTCAAGGGAAACCTCTGGTGCCAACCTGCTTGATGTGGCATAGCTCAAAGTGGAGCACTAGGTGTGAACTGTCAGAGATATCTTACAACATTGCACAAAAAACTTTCAAGTACTGAAAAGAGGAAAAGTACCAATTTACTGAAAAAATGGTGAAGTGGGTTCCGAGAATGGAAGGTGAGGTAGAATAATTCCACTTCCAAGTACTGACGTTATTTACCACCGCAGTAAAGAAGCACCTGGTAGAATACGATGCATAACCTCCACCTAAGGATTTCAACAAGTCCTCCATTAAGGTTTCAAAGCACTTACAAAAGTTACTCTGTACTGACAAACAGGCAAAAAGAAAGAAATGAAGTAATTCAAAACCAGAGGAGGTCTGGATAGAAGCACAGATTTCCTGTGCTTTTAACCAGTCGTGAGTGCGCTGCCTCACAGAGCCCACGCATGTGATGGAAACTCGTCAGAATCAAGGATCATTGCACAAGACAGAGGATACAAGAATGGTAAAACACATTCACCCAGCAACTCACTCAAGCCACAACTCAGAACAGGAAGTTTCACAGACTTTCAATTCCCACACCAAGTTAAATCAATGTAAATCAAATAAATTTGACAGAAAAAGCCTCAAATGGAAAAAAGTCTTTTTATGCCACCCACTACCAGAAAGATTATTGTTCTTGCTCCAAAACTATTACTGATTTCAAAGCTGCTTGAATTTAGAAATACAGGGATTAGATTATTTCCTCTGTTTGAGTTTTTACACAGGAAAACTGAGTAAGCCCTACAGTTAACTAAGCCAAAAAACAAACAAACAAACAAAAAGGTAAAGAAAAAAGACATGAAGAAGATGGCCTCTGCTGGGTCAGGATGGTCAGAATTCCTTCCTGCTGATAGGAGAGCACTGTCAGAGCTCCCCCAGGAATGGGAATGGCAGTTTTTCAAGTCTTTCTTAAATCAGGCCTTACATACCCCCCCCCCCCCTTATTTCTCTGATCCACAGGAATTTTTGGGACCAAGCTTTGTGTCTTGACATTGAATGTTGGCGATATTTTCAGCAAGGAATTGTGCTGGAACATACCATGTACAGTGTCCACTCTCGTTTTCCTGACATTGGCCATGACCAGATGCTTCACAGAAAAAATTAAGTCACTTCAAGAGGCACCAATCCAAAAAACAAGTCCCTCCTTCACCACCAGGAGTTAAAAGGGTTCCCTGGTTTCCTCTCTGATGTTGCTGTACTGTGTTTTAAAGATCATTACTGTAACAAATCTGGGTGTTCTTGCTGGCCATACAAACATGCCACCATTTCTGAATCCTTCCACACTCTCATCTTTATATCCAGCAGTACACAGTTAAATATATATGTATATATAGATATATGTATGTATGCATGTATTTGTGCTTCCTGGTACTTGTTATAAGCTCAAGTCTGTACCTCCATATAGAAAGGGAGCTGAAGCAGGAAGGGTCTGATTCTGTACTCTCTTTTTTTCCTGTTCATTTGTTACCAGTGAAGGATATCAGATGTGACAGCCCTGGAGACTCAAGTCCTTTGTCTACACAAAAGGTCCAGTTCTGTCAGCAAGAGGGTGGGACCTCACTCTTACACTATTTCAACAGTATGTTTCAATCAACAATGCCTTGAGAAACTTCCAAGAACCACCAGCAGAAGTCAAAGGAATGAGTGGTATTAAGACTAACTAGTCAAGGTTCTCTCTGAGAACTACCAAGAAGACCAATTAAGACCAATTGCATTCATCATTTAGGCTGGAAAGCATCTAAGACCATGTAACTGTTTACTTATGGGTCACTTAAAAATAACCCTATAGAAAACAACCATTAAGTTGCTACTAGCACATACTGGATTTAAAATAGCAGTTTCTCATTTCACTAGCAAAGCAGCCTGTTAGCAAAGCAAACCAGGGCTCAGCAAAAGCAAGCCTACACCAGCCAGGGTAGGAGAAGGGTTACCAACATACAGGTTAACATGTCAACAAAATGTGCTGTGCACTCTGTTCCCCGAAGTGATTTTATTTTTTTTTTTCCACTAGCAGCAATTCCACAAGTACACAGGAGTCAGAAAAAAAAAGCGGAAGCAGCTGTGAAATTGTCTCATCTACTTTTACCATCCATATGGAGAAACACACAAAGATACTAACAGGCATACAGTGGGGAAAAAAACCCAAACAAACATAGATTAAGTCTTTAAACTTTTTTTTTTTTAACATTTTTTTAAGGAGATATAGTGCTTTCTGAGTGTGTAAATTCTCCAGAAGCACTGTCTCTTTAAAGTTGGAATGCAACTTTTTTCACCCACAAGGAAAAGTGCAGTTTCCCAGGTTCTTACTGGAAAGTTTTCTTGGGAAAATATTCCTTTCCAAAGTGTTGTTTTTACACTTTTGGTTCACTGGTTGTATGACTTGTAATGCTTTAATAGTGTTTTTACTCCACGAATGTTTGTAATAACTTAATCCGTCCTATTTCCTACAGTATCTCCTTTTAAGGATAATTATATCAATATGTTTGACATTTTGTAATCCAAATAACTTCTTTTTTCTAGACTTTGTTTTCAGTTGGGTGATTCAAAACAAGACTTAATTGTATGTTCCTGGCCCTCACGATTTTCTGAAAAAGCTGCTGCACAATAAAACTCAATAAATAACCCAAAGCCCATTAGAAACAAGAACAATTCTGCTTAGTATTTTGTTAAATTATCACAGTTTTCTTTTCTAATATGAGAGATCACAATTACCTACAATCTGCTGCATTTTCCAAGACAAGAATCTCATGCATGTATTTTATGTACATCTGCCCCAAGAAAGCTTTCTTTGGTTTCTTTTCGGGTTTGTCTGGGTTTTTTTTTTTCCCTTAAAGAAGCTGCAATGGGATGTGTTCTGTGATAGGCTAAAAATATATATAGCCATAATTAAATGCTATTACATATAGCATTTTATCAAAACCCTAACTGTATCTATTCACAACAGTAAACTACCCAAGAACCTAAGCTGATTGAACAGGCTTACAGAAGTCTTTTCCAAAAGCTACATATGGTCTTCTGCAAGAAGATCTATTGTTCAACTCAATTCTCCTCAAACTTCTGTGCTATTTTGCCAGTCAGGCCTCAAAACACTTCACATATTATTGGAAATCAGTAATTAATATTTTATGGTTCTGCACTGGTTTGTGAACTACTCCTCATTTATCACTTCAGAGTTTAGCTCCTCCCATCTACATAATGGCAAAAATCAGGTCTCCTCTCCTGCCTTTTCTAATGCTTCATTTATAATACAGACTAGCAAAATGGCTTTGCACTTGATCCTTATTTAGAACATTCTGACCATAAGTTTATGTAAATTATTAAATTTAATGACAGCGATATCTAATCGTGTCAAGGGAGGTCTGGTCTTTATTGTGTAAGGTACAACACAGCCAGCAAGCAGTCCCTCTGATGATGAGTTTACAGAGTATGGGAATGATAAAGAGATGAAATGACTCATGTGGAGACAGTCAAAAGGCCAGCTTCAGGACTAGTGACAAAAGCAGTTTCCTCAAAGCAAAGTTCAGTCTCAATTTGATTTTTCTGCCTCTACATCAAATTAAAAGACAACACTGCAGACTAACTAGAACCATCTGGCTTTAATGCAGTATTAGCTTTTACTGCTGCTTAGACTACAGACACATTCTAAGGCAGTCAAAGAGAATTTTGGTAGGCATAACATCTATTGTCCCCTCAAAGGTCCCTTAATACTGAGTGAGGGATGCAGTAAAGCTGCTTCTTAGCTGTTTATAAAGGAAATCAGAATGTCCTTTGGTAAGATGCTGTCTTCTTTGCTTACGTTCACTGTGCAACAGTGGAATTTTTGCTTTTTCCCTGTCCTATGCAGCAACTAGAGGCTAGACCTCTCCAGCACACCAGAACAGACTATTACCCATTCTGTCTCTTGTTCTTTCTAAGATTAGAGATACTTCTAAAACACATACAATATGTACCTGGTGAAAATTGTTACCAGAATGTTTCAATCTCAAGCTCCCTCTCTCTGTAAATAAGTTACAGAAAGAAGCCAAATGACAGCACTTGACAACGTGAAGCATGGTGCCAGAATGCAAACCAATAAAGTTTCTTCTTCTTGAATGTGACAAAATGCTTATTTTAAGCATACTGAAACAATAAAGTGCTGATTAACAAGCAGCATGTTCTTCAAGGAAGCCTATGAGAGTGTAGTCTTGTGCTAAAGGCAGAAGGTAAATGCAGAAGGTATGCAATCACAAGTATGGGAACAGCTCCATGTATCAAAAGTTAGCTTTAAACTAACTCATGTTAAATCCAGTGACAGAATATCTTGAGCTACATGGAAGACTGACCCAGTGTCATGGACAAATATTTCTGAGCTCATCTAGTATAATACATGTGGTAAGGTTTATTTCCCAACTAGCTAGCTTATAGATGTCTTGAACATATCTACACTGCATGTCTTTGGCTGCTACCTTATCTTGGTACAAACGGGTAGATTCGAGTCTCCAGGGATTGCTAGTGACTGATTGCTTCAGCCTTAGCTAGAAATTACAATGATCTGTTCGTAGGCAGCCAGTCACACGTTAGCACAGTGTTCTGCAGAAATTAATACAGACAAAGCTGAAAATAATACTCACCCACGGAGTCTAAAAATAAGCGACAAAATTTCCCCTCCTCATTTCTTTCTGATTTTTGTTTCCCCTCAGGTGATGACACCATTGTCCTTTCCAGCTCTCCTGAAATGCAACATGTGCTCTGGGTCACAGGCTGTTCTAGGGAACTTTTAATTTTACTTAGGTTTACAGTTTTGGATGTGCTCTGTGAGGCAAATCAAGAGCTTATTAGACCAGAACAAACAACAGAAGACACCAGTTTAACATGGCCTCTGAGAATCAGATACCTAAAAACATATTTAAGTACATATAAATGAAGATAGAAAGCATAGGCACAAGTGTGATATGCACTAATCACAGCAAATGTGGTGTTTTCAGCTGTCCTACCACGAAGAAATACATTCCTTCAGAGTATTTTTGGTATGACAGACTCTGTTTAGCTTACCCATACAGCTCAGCCCATTTCAGACTTCAAAAACAAGCCAATTAAAATACTAGAAGCTTACAGGGTATTGATTGCTTTAGACCATGCAATTTAATGCACTGTGTTTCATGCAAACATGGGAATTCTGAGAGCACAAGATCCTTAAAATCAGTAAAAAGGGAAATAATTTAACAGGATGACTGCAGAAAACACAAGTTCCTGCCAAGAAAACAAGCTTTCTAACAAGAGGACAAACGGAGAGGAGTCCAAATGAAACTACCTGACAATGAGGAGTAACACTGCTAGTTTGGGGGCAGTCTGAAACCTATTTCTGTAGTGTTGGTATGTCCTCATGCATATACTTTATGAACTAACAAATTTTCCAAAAACATCTTATGAGGGAAGTAAAACAAGTTTCCATCTCCCAGCTGAGAAGAGTGAGGTCAGTAGGTGTGAATACAGATGGAGCTGTGGGATGGAAAAAAAAAAAAAAAAAAAAAAGGAGTTCTGGGATTATGCTCCAGACTTACGATTTCTGTGGTATTTAATTTAGAGAATTTGGAATTTGGTGAAGGGAAGGGAGATGAATCAGTTTTTCATTATACATTATGTATATATGCATGCAATCCCTGACATAATGTGTCCCCCAGCCTGGTCCAAGACCTACCTCAGTGCACACAGTACAACTCCTCACGCCTAGATGACTGCAGCAGAAATGACTTTGGTGATTCTCCACACGAAGGGCACACTGCACACCATAGGAATAACGTCACACTGCCAGATGCATGCTCCACTACATTCTTCTAGTCCTGAAGGAAAAACACTTTAAATTCAGTAATATATAATATTCCTGTTAATGTGAGACAGGAGACTGGCAACATGCCACTAACAGAGCTAAGCAATGGAAAAAACAGAGAACTAGTACACAATCTGAAGCAGACAGACCTATTGTAAGCTGTCTCCATCCTTGGGGCTGGATGGTCCAGGCTTATTTATGAGCATAATATTTACAACTAACACACATGAAATACGTTATGAGTAGAAATAAATCTCCTAACATGCACAGAGAACAGCTAAGATAAAAGAATGCATATGGTAAACTAGGTGAATGTTTGTCATTAAAAGTGTGGTACTAAAGCCAGAGCACGTCTTTGGGGCAGAGGAGATGGCGTATTTGCGCTCGAGTTTATCAGTACTCTGGAAGACATGAGCTATTAGGCAAAGACTTTAAGAATGATCTTTTTCTTATTTTTCTAGTGAATTCAAAGCTGATGAAAGACACTGTGATAAAAGCCCTTGGGAGTAAAACACTGCTTGAAAGGAAGATTAGCCTTACGCCTATGCAAAGACCCAGGGAACAACAGGCCAGAGTTCAGTTCCCAGGTCTTTCATTATCTCAAGCAATATCCTTACTGCTTCTGCACCTGTGTGTATATCAGAAACAGGTATAAGTAGGAAGTAAGAAAGGGCTACTTAAAGGCCAGGAAGGACCTTGCTTAATTAAGTGTTCTGACTTCCTGCATGACACTACAGGCAGTAGGAACTCCCTGCATTACTGCCTAAATTAAATCATCACTGAGGAGATAAACTCTTCAGAAAAACAACCATCCATTACTAAATAACATGGCTAGCAAATGGGCATGTCAATTCTAGTTTCTCTTTAATTACAAAAAACAAACCCCACTCCCAAAAGAGCTGATGACAATTTCCTGATGATCTCTCTTGTCTTTTGAACCTTACACAGCAGACTACATCAAGCAGGCTCCTCAACCTTATTTGGTTTTAGATGGAACACGAGGCAGCTATCACTTAAACACATCTATATTTGACATTTCTGCTACAAAGCTGCACTGATCATAGATCATATCTCATCATGTCCAGCCAATCCAATTAGGTCCAACAGCTTCACCTGGATTCATCTCTTCCTTTGACACTAAGGTTTAAGTGTCAATTTCTTTGGAGCTCTTTGTGATGGTGACTCTTACCCAGTGGGACCCAGATAGAAGCTAACCAACTCATTTTATGCAGGGTGCAGAACAGCCACAGCAGCTTGTCAAGCTGTTACTTTTCCCCACAATCTTCTGTTAAAACATCTAATTCCAGCGTTGTGGGACATACTAATAAAAAATAGGATAATAATGGAACCGGTCTGTGGTACAAAACAGAGTAGCAACTTTAGCTAACTAAACATCCTGTCCTAAACGAGCACCACGACATGTTGTTTTGGCTACTACACATCTCTTTCAGAGTACTTTCCACTTTTTAAAAGGGAGCAATCAAATTCCTATGAGAGCAGCAGAGATGAACTGAAGTAACAGCAAAGTGGATTTGGGGAACAGGAGATGTCAGCTGGTGAAAACACTTCAAAAATCAGCCTAATTTTAAATTCACTCATGAAAGGAAGAGTAGCATGAAGTTACTGTTTGATAGCAGTACAGTTTTCATGTGTCAGGAAGGCATCAGCTTTTTTTTTTCCTTGAAGTAGTCTAAATGGATTTTGATTTACAGATGCTGGGAGCTGCAAAGTAACAGCAAAGGCAGGCAAACACCTACTTTAGTATCTATAACTAGGTGCTGCAGTTCTGACATAAATAGATTTATTTCAGGCAGAATGACCTTTCACACTGGCAGTGTCACAAGATAGTTTCAGGTTAGTGGGTATAAGACAACATAAATAAACCAAACTCAGCCTGTGTCCCATATAATTAAATAAATGACATATGGGGAAAAAAAAAAAAAACCACAACAACCCCCCCAAAAACTATAGCTCTACCATATTTTACTGTCAGGCCTTCTACAGTAGTCTCATTTCGTGTTTCTTTTATCAAGTTAAGAGCTAACGACAGGCAGAGTCAGAATAAATATAAAAAAGGAAGTAATTTCGGAAAGGTAGTAAGGATAGGGGGTTGGAACTAGATGATCTTAAGGTCCTTTCCAACTTTAACTATTCTATGATTCTATGACATATTGCTTATTTCTGTAATACAATAAAATTATTACACCACTAGATTGCAACTAAAATACAGCCTTCTTGGTGAAAAGATTTACACTTGCCTCCACAGCTCTGATTATACCTTAGGGTTTACTAGATTTTCTTTCTAAAACACTAGCTAGTCCTTACAAAAAGTTGCAAAACTAACTAAACCTACTATCCACATTTGTTGAAGCCATAAATAAATACCCATCTGTTGAATTACCCTGTATTTTAAGTTGATTTTATACAACATTCTAGTTATGGATAACATCACACCACATTAACTAGTGTTGGTAATTTTGCTCCATTCTTTTATGGTTTCATGCCCATAAACAGGACAGGTGATCTTCTGTCATTACTACAGATATTAGTTACGGATTTTTTTTTAAGTTTTTTTTTTTTTTTGTGGAGCCCTTTAGTATCTTCACTGCAAATGAAAGGATGGTATAGAGAAAAGAGGAGAAACCCTGACTGCTGACGGCTGTAATCCTGTGAGACATGCTTCAAATAAATAAGAAAAACCCCAGCAAGAAATACAAAAACCTCATCAATTATTTGATCCTGAATTCAGAGCCAAAATACTTTAAAGTGTGGGGAGATTATACAACTCCCTCAGCAGAATTCTAGGCTGAGCCACAGAACCCACAGCTTCATGCCATCAAACCTAATCTTTGTTTGAGATCTAAAACATTCTCCAAGAGTTTTCAGTCATATTGCAAAATTGTGGGGGGAAGATGAAAGGCAGAGTCTCCCCGCCTCTCTCACACACTAACCCCGGGGCCTAGAAACATCAGGACTTGATTTAACCAAACACACACTGGGCCAGAAAAATGATGAGTGATCTTGGACTTGACTGACACACAGAAGACTTCATCTGATTCACAGTTTTCTAACACAATTTTTGGATACCTCAGACCCTTGAGCAGGTTGTACCCAAATTAGATAGCCAGCCAGAAAGCTTCCCCTCCCTGGCCAAATTATTTCCTGGCAGGGAAATTATAAACCTAACCAGCCTGATACCTGGTATTCATTCTTAGGGAAGGAAAGATACATTTCAATACCTGGAAATCACTAGCCAGTGAGCCTCTTTGCCCGAGGTAGGATATCACAGATTACAGTTGCTAGCTGTTCCCTTGCTTGGTCATTCTTTTTTGTCTGTAACATTTCTCAATAACCGAGTCTGATCTGAAGAAAACTAGAGCAGCTGGGCTATCTTCTGAAACTTTCTTCTGTTCTCCCTCTATTTCAGTGCCCCAAACTAAAAATTAGGTCAGACATGTTTTCATCCATGCTGTCCAACCTGCTTTGATCATAAACTCTTTGTGTTTTATATGATGTTTACATCTAAGTCCTATTGCAATGACATCAGAGCCTCCAAATATCATTTTAGCACAAATTAAAGTGCTCATGCTCAGAAAACCATTTATCTTTACCCTATAGGAGTTTCAGCAGTGTTGTTATTTTTGAGGAGGAATTGTGCAGGCTTCTTGTCAATTGGTTTAGGTTGCCTAAATGAAGCTAAATTGCTTTTACCATCTCTAGCTGCTGCTGACCACATGTATAGCTTTCTCCATTTAATTTAATCCATCAGCCAAAAGCAAAACAATTTTCCTTCTGTGCACTTTCTACAAACAGGGTATGGGAAGAAGAAGAAAAACACACAAAAGGAAAGAAAAATAACACCACATCACTTGCAGCATCTTTACATGTAATAGTAACAGCCTCTTGGTGCCATCATCAGCCATGGCATTTCATTCACACAGAACACTTGTGGGCACATCACATATGCTTTTCCATTCAATGTATTTTTAAATGTTTCCCAGGCAACTGTTTCAATACAGTATGCTTCCTTGGCAACCTGGTACCCACAAATGCCATGCCAAGCTCCCTAGTCCTCTTTTTAGGTCTTTCCATCTTGGCACATAAATGTCACGAATTGATTTTCTATATGTAGCCACACAGGTACTGATGTGTCCTTATACTTGAGAAGGGAAGGCTGAATTGATGAGTTGTGCACTGGCAATGGCTTTCATTGAAAAGACAGTGTCACCTACAGCTAAAATCAGGGAGAGCCTACAAAACTGTCTCCACTCAACTGACTTTCTCTGGAAAGAGCAATGAGCCTGCACTTCCCAAACTGAAACTGCACGTCATCTTTATTCTCCTGACTATGCTAAAGGAAGTCTTACGTACCTTTCATAATTTTGTAGTTTGAATTGTAACAACATCATGTTGATGAAAATAGTCAGAATTTCCTATTTCACTGCAGACAGTGATTAACGCTGTACTGAACTAGCCAGTATGATTGAGTTACTCTTTCCAGTGCTGCATTTGCTGACACTGGGCTGCAGAGATATGCCGTAAAGTCCATTCACTGCAGCAGCTTTCACTGATGCTCTACAATACCTGCTTCAGTCTCCTGTGCCATTTTGGGGCACATTTTCCTTCATGATATTTAGCAGAATGAAGGTGTTGATCCCCAAGTCACAAACTATTTGACAAGGACAAAAAATTACCAATGCATACTCCTAAACCAAGCACTGATTAACAGAATAATTTAAACATAATAATGTTTCCATATTCTAGCAAGGCACGACTTATTCTGAACATTTTTATTTGATGCAGGAGCTGTCACTACAGAGCCAAAGATATTTCAGAAGGACTAGAACTGTCTGCAAGCATCAGTCACCAAAAAACCCCAAAGTTTTAACAAAAATTGCATATGCTTTAACCTCAAAGTGGTACATTTGAAAAAAATAATAGCACATGCATGCAATTACATCAGGCTTTGCAAGAAACACAGCAGAAACTATGGCATCTCTTCTTCATTGATTACTCCATAACAACAGCTGAAAATTACACTTTTTCCAGGCTATAAAATGCCTAGCACACCAAATTCTACACCAGCAGCAAAAATCTCCTCCCTGTCTGTGAGTTGTTGTATCTGTAATAGAGACCCCGCATTACCAGGCTTTCTAATTCTTCCCAAATGCAGAAGCTCTCATTCAATGTTGCAGCTGTTGGATAGGAAATCAGAAATAGCAGAAGGCGGATTAGTAGATAATGTACCAGTTCTTCCCCAGCAAATGCTGGCACCTGCGTTTTACACTCTCCCCTTTCCCTCAGCCCAGGAAAAGATCACTTGGTTGGTTTGGCAGGCAATTTATAGGCTTTAGTGACTGTGGAACTGCAAAAGGATTAGAATTTGTTGTAATAGCCCCTTCTTCCTGAGAGCAAAAGTTAAAACTGAGGCCCACTTTACAGCAAGCATCAGGGACCATGTAAGTAAAGATAAAGTGTGTGCAGCTTGATGAGACTCTACAGGGAATAGCTAACTACACATGCTGGCATTCCATTTAGAAGAAAATCCCTAAAGATAATCTGTAGAAGCATTCTAGCTTCCAAAAGCTCAAATCCCTTGACCACTGGCTCAAATCCAGACAAGGCTGCTGCTGATAAAGACTACTCTTTGCATTTCTACGAGAACTTCTTTCCAAGATCACAAACCACTCTTCATTACTTAATTATGCAAGACCCAAAGTCAGGCAAGAAGTAAAAAGATTTCTGTCAGCGGAGGAAACAGTAGTGCAACATAGAAGAGCCAAGAATAGGTCCTATTTTATATCCCACCTTCATGCTGTAAGTACATTATTAATTCTGGCAAGATGCAGATGAAAAATCTGAGTACACATAATGGACAAAGATTTCTAGAATGCCAGTATCAAATCTACAGGTAGTTGTAGGTAGAAGCAGACAGAGCAAGAATTAAAATGTTCCCTGATGTGCCTGCTCTCATAGGTTATAATGGGGCTGCATTAAACAGGTAACAATTAAAAAAAAAATAAAAATTATGTCTTACAGCTTCAAGTTTTCAGTTAAATCCACAAGATGCAAAGCCACCTACAAGCTATAGCTGCTACAGAAGCAAGGTTTTTTTTCTTCTGCTTTTTACAACCAGCAGAAGCAGTAATAACGTTCACTATTCTTTTTACTATACTCTTTCATTTATGGCTCTTACCACACAATAACCATTTTTTATGCTGACCCATAATACAGCTTTTGCCGATGCTATAACAGATGACTCACAGCACTAACAGTGCCACACAGCAATACCTTCAGCACGAAAAGCAGACTCCACTTCTGCCTGCTACTTCAGGAGAAGTCACAGCTAATGAAATAAATCTGTTGGTACAATGCGTGATTTAGGAACAGAGACTTGTCAAAGTAGTATCCAAGGGATAGTAAGATATGTAAAATGCTAACCCAAATACTACAGGAACAGAAGCAGAAACCGTGTGGCAGAAACAATCATTAACATAGGTGTACAGAGAATTACGTACAGAGGCCTGCAGACATCAGCTCAACCTGACAGCTGATTTTTTTTTAAAGCAAGATTTTTATATTGTTTGCTGCCGCCAAGTGGCAATAGGCAGCGCTGTGTCCTCTCATTCACAGCAGGCATTGAGGCTGGCAAGTAACATACCCAAAATTAAATGCTTTTCCATTTTTCTTCTTCAATTAACATCAGCAATTGTGAAATCAAATTTTGACCACTCCTCTGTCACCTCATTTTCAGCCATGTATACGTCTGATCCCCCTTTTCAATCTACATATTTGCTTTATTTATATTCTTGCTGTGTCTGCTGCTATAACCATGTCTCTTTCCACAGCAGGCCTAAAACCTTCACATTCACCCCTTGCCTCTGTTCTGCTTACCTTGTTCCACCTGGAACTTTTGGGAGAATGCCTTTCCTGACAGCGATGGAGAGGAGGCCATTATTTCCTGGAACCTCCTCTCATCTCAGTGGGAAGCAGCTTCTGAATGACAACAAAGTCAAAAGGCAGAACACTCTTTGTAACTGTTCTGGTAATTCTTTGGTACTGCCATAGCTGTAACAAATATTAATACAGGGAAATATTTGTCTGTGTGACAGTGACCAGCTTTTCATTTCTTTCATCCTGAATTTCATTTTCTTTGCCAATCATATAGTAGAAATGCCAATGCTCTAATATGACTGTGTTTTAAATTATTTTTCAGCTGGGCTATCTATTGTAGAAGCTTACATCATTCACATCAGTAACCAGACACTTTACATTTCTTTTTATCCTCACCCCTACATGAAAAGAAAACCCATTAAAGCTCTTATAATGTTAAAAATTAGTTACTACTTGGAGTAAAAGCCATCACCTCACTGCGGAGATGGACTCACAGAAACAAAAAGTACCTGAGCTAACACAGGAAAGCAGTGAACTGGACTGAGCATCCCAGATCTCTGACTGCTCTCCAAGTGAATCATCTTCAGCCTGTTGCACAGTTGGAGGTGGCTGTGTGCCTGTACCTGTCACTTCTCAGGTTAAATCTGCTGATCTACTTCAAACCCAAATCAGCGAACTCTGAATGGCATTTTTCTGGTTCAGGTCTGTTCAAGACACGCAGAAACTCAGGTCACCTGTTAGTTAACACGTTTTTTTATGGTCCATGTGCTCAACATGGTAATTCACAGGCATTAACTTTTAACACTGCTGCTGTCAATATTGATGCCTCCGTTTTGGTCTGAGGGATGCAAGAATGAAACAGCCCACAAGACATTCAGCACTGCTCAAAAGCGGTTATAGAAAAGCAATGTGGAGTCATCTTTTCCCACCAATAAATTTGTCTTATGAAAGACAGTGTTCTGTACCTGCTCTCCCTCATACAGATCTGTTACCAGATATTTTTATTTCCTTGTACAATTATTCTTGTATCAATTATGAAGCACTTAATCGGCAGTTACCTTCCAATCCTTTTATCTGCTGTTGGAGAATTACGAAGAGGCTGTCACCGTTTCTCTGTTAGACCTGGTTTTGAAGAGGCCACAGCCTGTATCTGCCCATTTGAAAAACTACGGGCAACGGCTCTGCGCTGAGGAGTGCTTTACCTCAAGTCACCCATCGACATTCTTACCAAAAAAGGCAAAGCGATCACTTCAACAGACTGCTTCCTGAATGAGAAATTATATCAGAGATGCACCCCCAATCTAGTTTTCTGTTTCGATTAACAATCTTTGCCTGCAGCCTGACACCACCGTCAATGGCGCTGGCTGCCAGGGCCGAGCCACCGCCATTTTGTCCAGCCAACGCCAAGGGAGCATGCTGCATTTCCACAGCAGCGGCTCCACAGCCGAACCCCAAATACACCCAAACGTTACAAATACAGGCAGTTTAAGGAGTAAAGGCAACACGGGAAGGGCGGCTTTCGAGACAAACACCTTGAGGGTACTACACGTACTGCAGCCCTTGTGGAGCGCGGCGCGGCTGAGCACAGCTGCTGGCGCGGGGAAGGGCAGGCTCCCCCTCAGAAGAGCGGGGTCCCCCCGCAAGCCGGCCCCTACCCTCCCACAGCGCCCATCCCTCGCGGGCGGTGTTGAGGGCGGAGCGGGAGCCGGCCCGCCCAGAGTCCCTACCCTGGCTGCAGACAAATCGGGGTGGAAGAAGAGGAGGAGAAACCGCAGGTCCCTTCACCCGCCCTCCCGCGGGACGAGGGGAGCTGTGAGGCGGGGCCTCAGCTCCGCGCCTTCGCCATGTCTGAGGAAGGAGCCGCCAAGCTGCGCCTCAAGCCCAGGAAGGAGCCAGCAGCCCGGAGCCAGGAGCACCCCGGGCGGCGCCAGGGAGTCAGGGCCGGGTGGATGAGCGGCTTCTGCCGAGGGGCCGGAGCTGCCTCAGCGGCCCTGGGGAAGGAACCCGCCCTACCCCTTACCGGGAAGATGGAGCTGGATCTTCAGCCGTGCCTGAGGTGCGCCTTCAGCGCGTCGCTAACGGCGTTAAAGGCCTCTTGATAAGCGTCACCTGTGGGGCCTCTGGAAACATCGAGAAGCCACCTGCAAACTAAAGAGCGCTGGGCGCTGAGCTTTCTGCGTGTTCTCCCGCACAGAACAGCAGTAAGGATGGGGCTCGTTAGAAACGCTGTGAAAATTAAGATATCTTCTTTTCAGCAGGAATAATTCCTGAGAATTAAAGTTTCTTTTTTTCAGACTAACTTACAGGAAACCAGCAATAATTAATTCCTGCTTCTTTCCAGCCCTCGAGACAGGGCTGAAGGCGAGGTGAAGAGACAGAGGTTCTTGTGTCAGCCTGTCAGGACGAGCAAGCATGCCATCAGCTGTGCCCCCTCTGAAAATGGGCTTCCAAAGGACCATTGCTCCTCATCTTGAGGGTGGGAGAGACCAGTCTCTAGTTTATTCCATGTGCAGTGTCATTCCTGGACTGACACAAGAAAATGCAGCAGTAGGAAGTGGCAATGCTGGAAGCAGTATTCTGACACGAACAGCCCGTCCATCTCTTGAAATTTTCTTTACACAGTATTACTAGTATAAAAACCTTTTAATTCTTACTTAGTAGTTAAACCTTCCTAGGATGGATCAGTTCAAGTTTACAATCAGTAGTTTTAAACGGCAGTGTGGCCAGGCATACGTGGGAACCAGGGTGATTGCCATCCTCAGTGCAAACGCTGCAGTGATATCTGTGCTCAGCAAGTGTCAGTTTGGGTATTTGAGAAGAAAAAACAGTGGCTACGCTTAACTGTTTCACATGGAAGTGAAGACCATAATAAATACTGCTTCTGGTTTTTACAAGTGAAACAAGGCTTTTAGACATTCTTCTAAAAATGGGTCATTTTTTGATAGCTGTATGAGTTTTGTAAGTCACAGTAAGCTGTAAAAATTATTTTTATGGGCTAAATAATGCCTCTGTGTTCCATAGAAACCTTGCTGTAGGCTAGATGGAGGTTCCATTGCTAAACAAATGTGTTAAACATCTGAATCTTTCCTGCACAGGCCAATTTGCCTCACTTTTAAAGTAAAAATTCTGCATTTGTATGGTTGTACCTACCAACAAATGCTGTTTGCATGCCTCTGCTGTTTGACATGACAAAATTGTCAACTCGTATTTTTTGTTTAGCTCCTATAGTGCTACTTGGTCAAAAGAAAACAGGTAAGAATTTTTTTAACCATCAGCATTACAGGAGGGATAAATGAATTAAGAGCAAACTAACAGCAATGCAGAATATTTTCTTCCCTCTCCTACTCTCAAACTGTTGGACTGTCTCTGTTGTTACAGGTCATTGACTGACAGCTGCTCCTGGTTTGAAAAAGAAGACTTAAATGAGTGTGAAGAACCATGGGGTTTGTTACTGAAAGGCATCAGTCAAGATTCCCAAGGCACAGACTGGCAGGCAGTGCCCAGGTTTCCAGAGTTCTTTGGAAAGGTAGTGTGCTGTACCCTTGTTGTTTGCACTTTGTGTACTGCTTATAGTAGTGACAGTTTGAATGATGATGTTAACGGGAAGAAATCTGAAATAGCTTTTAAACAGTAGCGGGTTTAAGCTCTTCAGCTTCTACACGTAATGGTGTGACTTAGCACTGTTGTAGGACAACTACTGGGGCTTCTTTTGCTGTATGGCAAATTCTTTACAATGTTTTTCTGGAAAGAGTTACATGTCTAAGTATCCTGGCTGCTCAGAAGCACTGGCATCTCACTGATGGAATAAACAGGACATGGCAAACTGCAACAGAGAGGTTAATTACACAAAAACTACCATTTCATTGCTCCAGCAGTAGTAGGGAATTGTAGAATAGTTTGGGTTGGAAAGGACCTTAAGATCATCTAGTTCCAACCCCCTTCCATGGGGCAGGGATACCACACACTAAACCATGTCACCCAAGGCTCTTTCCAACCTGGCCTTGAACACTGCCAAGGATGGAGCATTCACAATTTCCTTGGGCAACCCATTCCAGTGCCTCATCACCCTCACAAGGAAGAATTCTTCCTTATATCTAACCTAAACTTCCCCTGCTTAAGTTTGAACCCATTACCTCTTGTCCTACCACTACAGTCCCTAATGAAGAGTCCCTCTCCAGCATCCTTGTAGGCCCCCTTAACACAAACCACACAGTCCTTCTAAAGCAGAATTATTTTTCCTGAGCAGCAGCAGCTTGTTTTCATCCTTAGTCTCTATGGAACACATTAAGAAAGTACCCTGTTGTATCAATTTAGAAATGTTAAGGGAATACACATATTGTATAACCCCCAGGAAGTTCTTAATTGCTTTACAAGCACTGGAGAGGGATGTAAGTAAAACATTCTTCAGTGTAATTCAGCCTTCTGAGTATTTGTACTATGCTCATCTTTGGTTTCATGTATTGATGGAACGGCATTTGTTTTAAGACATTATTTGTATGTGTCAGAGCTCCAAGGAAGAGAGTCTACAAGAACAGGAAGTCTTTACAGCTGGAAAGAAAGACTTTCCATGGGTGTCATTCCCATCTTTTTGCAAAGAAGAACTTCTAAACCCAGAGGATCTTAGCTCCTATCAGCTAACACAGAGCCAGATCAACCACCTACGTAAAGGACAAGGCCAAGCAGATAAACTGAGCAGTTTACCATGTGCAGCTGAGAAGACGTGCTGTGTAACTATTACAGATCAAGCCAAACATGTGGTTGGGGAAGACACAGAAGCTATTTCAAAACCAGATGCAAGTCTGAAGTCATGTAAACTCACTTGGCACGGGAGTTCTGTGCACCACTTGGCATTGCCACAATGCTCTGCAAAAGCTTTGAGCTATCAAGAGCATTGCAGAGGGACTGCACAGAACAGCATGGAAAATGGAAAAGAAAATAATGGAAAAGAGCTTCAGCTACAAACACATCAAGGGGATGTTTCCTTTGGAGAGGCCAGATGCTCACCTGCAGAAGAGAACCTGCCTCTTGCAAGTTTACCTCAAACCAAGAGCTGCAAGGAAGAAACAGAAAATCAGGGTGAAGGAGCAACAACTCTTGACAGTTGTCCCATGTGTCTCATTTGCTTTAGTGGAATGTGAGTTGGGGGGGGGTGGGGGGTAATAACTGGACAGTATACAAACCCCAGTCTGGTTCTGGCTGCATTCTCTATAGGCAATAAAGAAATTGGGCAAAACTTCTACTTTTTAAGTGTCAGAATCACCTACTTACAATTCAGTTTAGAAGCATATGTTTACTAGATTATATTGCTTCAAAAGGAAAGTCAAGTTTGAGCTCTCTGGTAAACCTTGATGTGTTAGCATTTTAACAGAATAAACATTTTTAAATACTTCAGTACAAAAATACTAGTGACATTTGTGTCATCATCCAAAAAACCATTCTGGTGCAGCGTTCTCAATAGTTCAAAGCTAGTTTCAGACGTAGATGGATTAATCTTGTCTCTGTCACTTGCTCTTCTAGATCTGGACTTTGCTGTTATAGCCACAGTGGTACCTGTTCAGCCAGGACCCAGATGCCTCTGGCTGAGCAACTGTGGTCTTCATTTTAGATTTAGCTCTCAAGGTGTGGACAAGAGGGAAGGAAGGGGATATGTCTTGTATGCCAGCTCTTAATTAGCACAACTGAATGAGACTCCATGCAATCGAGTATCCACTACTATAGTAAGAATTATGGTGTCTCTTGAAATTAACACCATTTAATAGTATAGTAAAATATAGTAAAAAAATAGTAAAACATGAGTTCTGCAACAGATCCTCTAACACTGTGAGGTTTCTGGCTGCTGCTTGGTTTTCTGTCTTTTGGAGGCTGAACAAAGAGACAGAAGGATGACTTCAGGAGTATTTATACAATCATGGTCATTAGATCAAGAGATTTAGACAGGCTAATAACCATGCTTCAGGTCTTCATATTCAGTTCTGTGCTAGAGTGAAGGTGAAGAACAGTAAGTTAAGTGTTTGACTTTGTTTCTCATTGAACAAATTCTCTGTACTTGCAGGCTGTCACAACCAGACATTGATGAGCACCTTGCTATGTGCTTGTCTGAAAGTACAGATGATGTAGTGTGGTAAATCCTAAATCCAGAAGAATGAAGAGAAAAGGAACCAAGCCAAGGAGGAACCTCTCTCATAAGAAAAGGAAAAACACGTGGAGGAAGCACATCCTTGTCTCACACCAGTCACCTAAGTAGAACACCAAGCTCGGGGTCTTTTTCTCTTAAATCCTCTCAGAGGCACATGAAGTACTTCTGGTTCCCAAAACAGTGCTGGGGGCTCTCCCAGACACATCCACAGGGCAATCAGTATTGGTACTCCTGGAATCTGAGGACTTCTGAAACAATGTAAAATTGTAAATCCCTGAGGGACTCATGTTGGTGATGCCCCAAAGCTCTTCTGAGTGTAGAATAAACCAGCTGAACAGAAGGTAACTTACTTAATGCAATCCAGAAGTTCACAGACCTTTTCTTTTTTCTAAACAGGTGATCTGTAAAAATAAGTGTGAAGTTATTAAAACTTAGCATCTTTAACATTTTAGAAGAACATATATGATTGTACAGCTGATTCTGTGAGTGTATCTATGTTAAAAGGAAACACAACCCAGACCAAGTAAAGGCTGTGAGGTTTTTTTATCTTTCTGAAGGAACACAGCTGAATTCAGAGCCTTAGGTTGGGGGTTT